CCAGGACAGACTACCATGACCAATTTTGACTCATGGCTACCTCAGGCATGTCAGAGTAAAACTGTGCTCCAATCAGTTCTCAATGGTTGATTTTTCAGATGTAGTTTGCCAGGCTTTTCTTTTGAGGCACCTAGACAGTCCTGAGCAAAGGAAAATGAAGTTAGTAACAAACATGACATCATCCTTGCTTGTTAATATCAGTATTTCCTTCTTTTAAAAAACCACGTGGCTCTAGAGAGATACTCAGGATAAAGTTCTATGAAATAAAATTCCAAAAAACAACCCAAAAAACTCACTGCCATGGAGTCAATTCGGATTGGATTTCCAAAGTTGTAAATCTTTGCAGAAGTGGACTACCTCATCTTTCTTCCATGAAGAAGCTGGTGGGTTCAAACCACTGACCATTTGGTTAGCAGCCAAATGCCTTAACCACTACACCACCAGAGCTCCTTAAGAAATAAGATTAGTAGATGAGAATTTGGATCTTGAACAATAAACGAAACAGAAGGAATCCAAATAAAACAATGGAGACAAAGAATACTGTGAGCCAAACTTTAAGAAAGTAATAGTTGAAGAGAGACTTTTTGCCAGCCCAACTGTTGAAAGGACCAAATCAAGCTTTTATAAGAAATTTCTACAGAAACAAAGCTCCCAGCATTGACAGATGTGAAACCTTCCAATGCTATCTCAAATCCTAGGGCTAAAATCTATTGCAGAAATTGATGATATGTTTGAAAGAAAATGAGGAAGCCTTTGAAATAAGATTTGATGGCTCTCCTACATATAGACCAAGAGGAAGTAATTAGGACAGAACAAGGAAATACATCTTGGTTTAAAATCAGGAAAGATGTGCATCAGCGTTGTATCCTTTCAGCATACTTGTTCAATCTGTACAGTGAGCAAACAATCTCAGAAGCCAGACTATATGAAGAAGAACATGGCATCAGGATTAGAGTAAGACTCATCAACAGCCTACAAGATGCAGATGATCCAACCTTGCTGGATGAAAGTGAAGAGGACTTGAAACCCTTACTGAGGAAGATCAAAGACTGCACCTTTCAGTATGGATTACACTCAACATAAAGAAAACAAAATCCTCCCAACTGGACTGATGAACAACATTAAGATAAATGGAGAAAATATTAAAATTGTCAAGGATTTCATTTTACTTGGAGCCAAAAAAAAAAAAAAAAATCCCCATGGAAGCAGCAGTCAAGAAATCAAATGATTTATTGCTTTGGGTAAATTTGCTGCAAAAGACTACTTTAAGTGTTAAAAAGCACTTTGAAGACAAAGATGAACTTGACCCAAGCCATAGTATTTTCAATCACCTCATATGCATGGGAGAGCTGGACAACAAATAAGGAAGACCAAAAAAAAAATTGATGCCTTCGAGTTACAGTGTTGGTGAAGAATACTGAATTTATCATGGACTGCCAGAAAAAGAAATAAATCTGTCTTGGAAGAAGTATAGCCAGAATGTTCCTTAGAAGCAAGGATGGGAAGACTTCGTCTCACTTATTTTGGAAACGGTATCAGGATGGACCAGTCTCTAGAGAAGGACATCATGCTTGATAAAGTAGAGGGTCAGAGGCAAAGAGGAAGGCCTTCAACAGATGAACTGATACGATGGCTGCAACAATGGGCTCAAGTAGGCCCACTGAATAATCCAGGAGAATCTCCCCATCTCAGGATCTTTAGCTTAATCATGTCTGCAAAGTCCCCTTTGCCAAGTAAGGTAACATTTTCATAGGTTCTGGGGACTCAAACTCACTCACTGACATCGAATCTATTCTGACTCATAATGACCCCCATTGGGTTTCCAGGGCTCTAAATCTTTACAGAAGCAAACTGCTCTTCTTTCTTCCAAAGAGCAGTTAGTGGGTTTGAACTATCAACCTATTGGTTACTAGCCAAATGCCTTAACCACTCTACCACCAGAACTCCTTGTTCTGGGGTCTAGGATATGGATGTCTTTCCAAAAAGAAAACCAAACACACTGTCATCAAGTCAATTCTGGCTCACAGCGACCCTATAGGATAGAGTAAAACTTCCCCATAGGATCTTCAAGGCTATAATCTTTATGGAAGAGATGGTCACATCTTTCTCCTTTCTTCTAGTGGCTTCAAACCACAGACCTTTCAGTTAGCAGCTGAGCACTTAACCACTGTGCTACAGACCCCTGTGAACACCTTAATAGGGTCACTCTTCTGTTGAATAGTGGAGCTTGAGGAGGGGCAAATAGAGCCCATTCCCTTTCTCTCTTTGCAACCAGTTTCTCTTTTACCCTCTAAACACCAATTTTATTCTGTTCCGGGAGTCCCATGATCACGCACTAGCTTGGTGACTCATTGGAAGGACTCACAAGACTGAACAGGTTATATTCGTGGCTAAGGTTTATCACAGCAAAGGGCACAGTGCAGAAACCATGGAAACAACACAGATAAAAGGCTAGAGGCGCCAGGCGTGGTCCTCCAGGCCTTCCCTCTCTGCAAGGCTCACAAAAATGTACACTTCTCTCCAGCTGCAAACCACAGATGAGTGTGAGCTGTCTCCACCCAGGGATGCCTACCTGAGTCTTAGAATGCAGAGTTTTTAAAGGGAGCTGGTCAAGCAGTTACACAATCAGCCACTGTGCAGACCCCAAACCAGGCACCGGGTATACATTGTAAATCTTCATGTTTACTTTAAACAATGCTGACAACCTGGTTCAGCCCGACCCACTATTTCAGGTGCACAGAATAGCTGCACTCATCAGTGACTATGTGAGCATTCCAGGGTTTAGTTCTTAGACTTTGACCAAGGGTCATTCATTGCCCTGGCTCCAGGTATCCCCAAAGATGAGCAAAAACAAGGTAAAACAGACCTGCAGTGTTAACTCTTTTCAAGAACTGAGTAAAACAGATTTGTTGTATTAACACTTTCTCTGTATACTCCTCAAATGAGAGGAGGGGGACGTTCCCTCCCCACTGCCACCCCATGTCCTGGGGGTTGGTAGTCACAGGTTCACCAGTGACTTCAACTCACTCTGCTCCAACACATATTTATGTACCTTCTGTCTGGCAAAGCACAGGTCGAAAAACAGGAACAATTAGTTTGAGATCTGGGCCATTTAGCTTTAGGAGAGAAGTAACCTTTTATGCAGATTTCTGGTTAAAGTCCAAGAAAGAGGGGGAGGGAGGAGATAAATTTTAGGTCCTTTACTCTTCAGGCTTCGTCCTCTGCTCACTTCACCTCAGTTCTATCTGGGCTCCTTTGTAAGGAGCATTGGAAAAGGAAATCTCTTACTTAGGGTGTGGCCAGAAGGTGAGAGGGCCGATCTCTTATTATGAATTTGTAAAAAGGTGTGAGAATGTCTTTCCTAAACTACAAGTGATGCACTAACCATCTAATAGCTTATGGTCATATCTGTCTAGGGTAGGGGCCAGGTCAGAACAGACCATGTTTCTCATCCTGGAGGAAAGAGGCCATGTCACCTAATCAGTGATCTGCCATTGGAGGCCCAAAGGCAATTGAGTCTCACCTGTTCAACATTTTCCCAACAACTTGGATGAAGATAGAGAAGGCGTGTGGGAGTCCTCTGCATCCAGGGGGTGGCTCAAGAAAAGGAGCAGCTGAGTTGCTATCTCTGGGCCCAAGACACCAGGACTGAGCCAGGAGAGGGGGAAGCAACTCCTCCCGGGGCAGAGCTTAGGTCACTGAGTATGGAGGACAGAGGGAAAGAAGAGGGCTCACGCTGGAGCTGGGTCGGGTCCCCCTTCATGATCTGCCACAGACTCTTCTGTGAGGGGCTGAGCCTAGTGCTGTTTGTAATGAGGAAGTCTCCTCCCTGCATGTGCTGCATATGGAGGTGGCACTCTCAGCTATCCTTTGGGGAGAAGCCTTCCCTTCACCATTGCCTTCATGTGTGTGTGTTGGCGGGCACGGCCCTAGGGACCAACGCTTCCTTCTCCACCCTTCCCTATGGCAAGCAGGAGTCCTAGGAGGCCTAGCTCCATCTCCAGGTCACTTACCTGTCCACCCTTCCTTCCCACTGCCCTTGACCCAACCCAGCAATTATACAAGCAGCTCCATCTGGGGGCCCCTCCTACATAGCTGGCACTCCCCACATAGCATCTTGTGGACCCTCACACCTCTCTCATCTGGGCCTCTGTACCCACCATCCAAAAAACAGATGGAAAACCCTAAGACCAGAAGAACTACATGATTCCCAGCTACTACTGCTGATCAATCTGAAAGGGATCACAATATGTGGTACTAGATAGAATGGGAGAAAAATGTGGAACAAACTCAGAATAATAATGATAATAATAATAATAATAAAATAACAGACTTGCTGGTCTGATAGAGACTGATGGCCCATAGACATCCTTCAGGCCTAGAACTAAACTTACCCTGTCGTTCAGGTTCAACTTTGAGCCAAATGGTAGGCATATAAAGTAAACAATAACACCAGGGAGGTGCCCACTACTTAGAACAATCAACCATACAGGTCAGAAGGGTAGCATTCCCACTCAGAAGACAGGAAGTGGTAGGAAAGAAGGTTGAATGGAAATGATAAACACAAGGAAGAAGTGGGGAGCATGCTGTTACATTGTGAGAATATGTCACAAAACAAAATGTGTATGAACTGTTGAATGGAAAACCAATTTGCTCTGTAAACTTTCACTCAAATTACAACAAAAAGTTTAAAAAAAAAAGAGAGATGGCAAGCACTATCAAGTAACCTGTCCTGGGCCACATGTGAGGTTTGAACGTTTGTCCATCTGGCTCCAAGGGCCAAGACCTGGCACTATGTCCACTCGGCCAGGAGAGGACCCAGCAAAGTGTCTCAGCTCCAGCCACAGTAGTTCTTCACACACCAACTCACTTCCGGTTTCACCCCAGGGGGAGTCCAGACTGAGATGGGAGCTGAGCAGCTAGCGGCGGTGTTGCCTGTCTAGGAACTTCTGAGGTAGGAGCTGCAGGATGTCATGGCAAAACTGACCACTAGCCTCAGATCAACACTGGAGCCAGACCAACCAGACTGCGGCTGAGCAGAAGCTCAGGACAAGGACTGCCTTCAGGAAGACCAGGAACAGGAAGCCGGTGGAGACCATGGAGTACCTGTGTGGAGGAAACAAAATGGGGTCGAAGTGAGAGCAGTGGCATGGCTGGCCAGGAGACCTCACACCCCACCTTTGGGGCCCAGAGTGGGTAGGGCATGCAAGGGACTGCTGGTTTCTGCCCCAGGATGTCTGGAGTCTCAGTTGGAGACTCCTCTGGAGTCTTTCACTTAAATGATTGCTTTATACCACTAAATTTTGGCAGAAAGTTTAGCTGTCATGAGAACCCCGCTATGATTCTGATTAGTTGTTCCCCAGAGACAGGCTGGAGGGAGACAGAAGGGAGAGCAGAAGAGAGGACAGCCAGCTCCTGACACAGCTGGGCGCTTCCTTGTGGCAAGCCCTGGGCTTTGTGCTTTACCTGGTTCACTTTATGTCTTCCTCACAACCACCTGTGCATCAGTGCTATTATTATCCTTGTCCTTTGGGAGCCTGTATTCTCCAAAAATGGCTCCTGTGATACATCTGCTACCATGTGCTCTTCCAGAAGCTTCCACTCCCCTATCAACCTGAATGGGCTTGTGACTGCTTTGACTAATGGAATATGCTAGAAGTGCTGCTTTGTGACTTCCAGGAACAGCTCACAAAGAGGATACAGCCCGCACCTGGCTCTCTCTCTCTCAGGACATTTGCCCCTGGACCCAACCACCATACTGTGAGGAAGCCCAGACCACATTGGCAGGCCACAGATGGGCATTTTGGCCAATGGCCCCTGCTAAGGTCTGAGCTAACCCCAGGTGAGTGAACACCAGCATGTGAGTAAAAGACCTCTTAGGTGATTCCAGTCCCCAGTTGAGACTCCAAACATCTTGGGGCAGAAACAAACTGTCCTTGGTGTGCCCTGCCCTAGTTCCTGGCCCATAAAATCATGGGCATCATAAATGATTGTTGTATGTCACTAAATTTTGGCAAAAAACAGCCAACATAACTAGAACAGCCTTAATAACTAAAATAGCTATTTAAAAATAAAAACCTATTGCCATTGAGTTGATTCCAAATCATAGCAACCCTATAGGACAGAGTAGAACTGCCCCATGTGGTTTCCAAGACCATAATCTTCATAGAAGCAGACTTCCACATCGTTCTCCTGAGGAATGGCAGCCAGGCACTTAACTGCTGCTCCACTAGAAGAGCCATAGTGATTAGAATAATCCAATGTTACAGATGAGGAAGCAGAGGCACAGAGTAGTAACTTGCCTAGTGAAATTACACTGCTAGTAAAAGTGGAGCTGGGATGGAAACCCAAACACTTGGCACTAACACCCTCACACTTAGAGACCGAGAAGGAGACAGAACAAAGAACTGAGACGAGCCTGGGCTCTGGCCAAGACCTGAGCAGGTATTGAGGAGTCACACCAGGCCAGGATGTCCCCAAGCCAGGAGACTGTCACAGCCAGGATAGTGGGAACCACCTGCAGGGGCTGACCCTTCTTACCAGGTAGGAAGGCCAGCGTTGGACACATGGTGGGTCTGAGCCAGGGTTTCTGTGCTGGCTGACGTCTCTATGGCTGATGGCAGCAGAAACATGGTCTTCGTTGCCATAGTCACTAAGCCTGCAGACCCAGTCACAAGTCACTCTCTGCCTGACCTCCCAGTGCCTCAGTCTATAGTCATCTTGAAACTGCATACCTCCCCTTCCTCAAGGGTCCCAAAAAGAGAACTTCAGCCCTGGGAGAGGAGAAGGGTCCTGGGAGACCAGGGAGTTGCCAAAGCCAGCCAGAAGGAGCTCTACCTGTCCACCCTTCTAGAGGGCCCCAGCCCTCACCTCCCACAGGTATGGGGGGAATGTTTCCTTGGCAGGTGCTATTGGGAGAAATGAACGCTCAGGGGCTCAGCCAGCCCTGGGAAGCACCTGAAAGCCCTTTCAGGGTGGGACTCCAGTATGGGGACTATGGGGGTGGAGAAGCCCAGTGAACATCCCAGAGGGCGGGTCTAGATCTTCCTATTTCCTTTTCTCTACACATAGGTTGGGCACAGAGCAGAAAATAAAAACACAGAAACATGCTTAGGTCATTAGCGCATGTCCCCTGTTGGCAGGGGCCAGAGTGAGGGAACTGTAGTTATACTGTTGTGGTGGTTGTTAGGTGCCATCAAGTCAGCTCTGACTCATAACAACCCTATGTCCAACAGAACAAACCACTGCCCAGTCCTGAGCCATCCTCACAGTCCTTACTATGCTTGAGCCATCATTGCAGCCATGGTGTCAATCCATCTCGTAGAGGGTCTTTCCCTTTTTTGCTGACCCTGCACTTTAAAGCATGGCATCCTTCTCCAGGAAATGGTCCCTTCTTTTCCAGTAATATATCAGACAGTGTTTCCCTGCTATTCATAAGGTTTTCACTGGCCAATTCTTTGAGAAGTGGATGGTCCCTTCCTTCTTTCAAGTCTGTCTTAGTCTGGGAGCTCCTCTGAAACCTGTCCACCATAGATGACCCCGCTGGTATTTGAAATACCAGTGGCATAGCCTCCAGCCTCACAGCAACACGCAAGCCACCACAGGACAACAAACTGGTAGACAAGTGATGGTACTTATAAAAAGATCTGCTAACACTTGGCTCATGAATTTGTTTTAATTTTCTTCAGCTTCAGCTTAAACTTGCATGTGAGTAATTGATGATCTGTTCCACAGTTGGCCCATGGTCTTGTTCTGACTAATGATATTGACCTTCTCCATCATTTCTTTCCACACGTGTAGTTAATTTTATTCCTGTGTATTCCATTTGGCAAGGTCCACATGTGTGTTGTTGTTGTTGTTAGGTGCTGTAGAGTCAGCTCCAACTTATAGCAGCCTTATGTACAACAGAACAAAACACTGTCTAGTTCTGTGCCATCCACCATATTCTTGCTATGCTTGAGCTCACAGTTGCAGACACCATGTCAATCCATCTCCTTGAGAGTCTTCCTCTTTTTCACTGACCCTCTATTTTACCAAGAATGATACCCTTCTCCAGGGACTGGTCCTTTCTGACAACATGACTAAATTAGGTGAGAAGAGGTCTGGCCACTCTCACTTCCAAGGAGCATTCTGGCTGTGCCTACAAGACAGATTTGTTCCACACATGTAGTCACCATTTATGTTGTTGAAAAAAAATGTATTTGCAATGAATAAGTCTCTGGTCTTACAAAATTCTATTGTGTGGTCTCTGGCATCATTTCTATCACCAAGGCCATATTTTCCAACTACAGATGCTTCTTCAAGCAAGTCCACAAGAGCCAAAATATGACATTGAGTACATCCACCTGAATTGAGAGACCATCTGAAGAATAGGTTTGATGCATTGAACACCAATGACTGAAGACCAGATGAGTTGTGCGGTGACATCAAGAATGTCATACATGAAAAAATCAAGAGATCATAGAAAACACCAAAATGGGTGTCAAAAAGACTCTAAATTTGCTCTTGAACATATAGTAGCTAAAGCAAATAGAAGAAATGATAGAGTAAAAGATCTGAGCAGATTTCAAAAGGCACTCAAGAAGAAAAAGTACACTATTCTAATGAAATGTACAAAGGCCTGGAGTTAGAAAATCAAAGGAGAAGAACATGCTCAGAATTTGTCAAGCTAAAAGAACTGAAGAAAAAATTCAAGCCTTGAGTTACAATATTGAAGGATTGTATGGGCAAAATATTGAAGAATATAAGAAGGATCAAATGAAGATGGAAGGAATACAGAGTCTCGACGGCACATAACAACAACAACAACAACAACGTACCAAAAAGTATTGGTCAACATTCAGTCATTTGAGGAGGGCACATATGATCAAGAACCGACGGCACTGAGGGAAGAAGTCCAAACTGCACTGAATGAATTGGCCAGAAATAAGGCTTCAGGAGTTAATGGAAAACCCATTGAAATGTTTCAACAAACGGTTGCAATGCTGGAAGCACTCACTCATTTATGCCAAGAAATTTGGAAGACCTGGCCAACCGACTGGAAGAGAATCGTATTTGTGCTCATTCCAAAGACAGGTGATCCAACAGAATGTGGAGATTATCAAACAATATCATTAACATCACACACAAGTAAACTTTGGCGGAAAGTAATTCAAAAATTGGTGCAGCAGTACCTAGACAGGGAACTATCAGAAATTCAAGGGAGATTCAGAAGAGGACGTGGAACAAGGAATATCACTGCTGATGTCAGATGAATCTTGGTTGAAAGCAGAGAATACAAAAAAGATGCTTACCTGGGTTTATTGACTATGCAAAGCCACTTGACTATGTGGATCATAATAAATTATAGATAACATTGTGAAGAATGGGAATTCCAGAACACTTTGATTGTGCTCATGAGGAATCTGTACATAGACAAAGAGGGAGTTGTGTGTATCCGTTTAGGACTGTATCCTTTCACCATACTTATTCAATCTGTTTGTTCAGCAAAATCCAAAAAGCTGGGCTATATGAAGAAGAATGTGGCATCAGAATTGAAGGAAGACTCATTAACAACCTGCAATATGCAGATGACACAACCTTGCTTACTGAGAGTGAAGAAAACTTGAGGCACTTACTGATGAAGATCAAAGACTTCAGCCTTTAGTATGGATTACACTTCAACATAAAAAAAAAAAAAAATCCTCACCACTGGACCAATAACAACATCATGATGAGTGGGGAGATTGAAGTTGTCAAGGATTTCATTTTACTTGGATCCACAATCAACACCCATGGTAGTGAAACACCATCAACACCCGGCAGTGAAAAAAAATCAAACAATGTATTGCATCGGGCAAATCTGCTGCAAGACTTCTTTAAAGTGTTAAAAAGCAAAGATGTCATTTTTTGAAGATTAAGGTGGGCCTGACCCAAGCTATTGTCTTTTGAATAGCCTCACATGCATGTGAAAGCTGGACAATGAAAAAGGAAGAGTGCAGAAGAATTGATGCATTTCAGTTGTGACGCTGGTGAAGAGTATTGACTGTACCTGTACACTGCCCGAAGCATGAACAAATTTGTTTGGGTACAGGCAGAATGCTCCTGAGAAGCCAGACTGGCCAGACTTCATAACCTGTACTCTGGTCATTTAGTCAGAAGGGCCTAGCCCTTGGAGAAGGATATCATGTCTGGGAAAGTAGAGGTTCACCAGAAAAGAGGAAGACCTTCGATGAGATGGGTTGACAGAAGCTGCCATGATGGGGTCAAGCATAGCAAGGATTGTGCTGATGGGGCAAGACCAGGCAGCATCTTGTTCTGTTGTACATAGGGTCCCTATGAGTCAAAACTGACTTGACGGCACCTAACAACATTTGGCTAAATAGGGGAGAGGGCTGGGAGACCCAGAGCAGAGCTGCTGGATAGGACACTGCTTAGATGCCAGCTGTTCAGAGGACCCTCCTCATGTGCCCTCCATCTGGAGTAGTCTGTTGTCCCCTTCTGGCCCCTCAAACACCATTTAGCTCCTATCTCACGCACTCCTCTCCATTAACATCTTACTCTGAACTCATCACTGTCAATGCAGATGTGAGTGGCCTCAGATCTATAACGGGCTCTCCCCATCCCATCCCACCAGTGTCCCCAAGCACCTCTGCTCCCTATCCCTTTCTCTCTTCCCTTCTCCACTGGCTATCCCTGTAACTCCAGGGTTCACATCAGCCATCACCTCTCCAAGCCCACCAGGCTGTGATCTTCCTGGGGGCAGGGCCATATCTGTTTACTCTCTCACCTATCACCAGACTCGGTCCATAGCACACATGCAATGAAGGTTCTGAATGAGGAAGAGTGAGAATTTTTAACTTGAACCCCAAGGTGTCTGGATGTAAAGTAACCTCCCCTTTGGGAACTGAGAGATTAGAGAAGGAGTGTTGCAGCTTTGATTTGGGCTGGTCAATAGTACAAATGAACACATTGCTGACAGAAACCCAGACTCACTCACTGCCTTTGAGTTGATTCTGACTCATTGTTGACAAGTCAACTCTGCTTCGTGGCAACCCTATGTGTCAGAGCAGAACTGGGCTCCATAGGGTCTTCAGCAGCTGAGTTTTCAGGGTAGATGGCCAGGCCTTTCTTCCAAGGTGCCTCCAGGTAGACATGAAATTCTAACCTTTCAGTTAGCAGCCAAGCATGTTAGTGATGTGCACAGTGCAGGGGCTCCAATCATACCAATGGTGACCATCTGTAGTGACCATCTATTGAGTCCCAACCACCCTCCAGCAGCTGAGACAAGTGCCTTATACCTCTCAGCTCATTTAGCACTCACACTACCCTATGAGGTCCATACTGTTACTATGCCCATCTTACAGATGTGGAAACTGAGGCACAAACTGGTTAAGTGACTTGCACAAGGTTGCCCCGCATGTGGCCAACCTGGAATTTGAACCTAGGTCTCTAGGATCCCAGCTTTACCACCACACACCCTGCCTCTCCACATCTGACTATATGTTCAGACGCTGCCATCTACCCCCATACTATGTGTCTCTCTCTCTCTCTCACACACACACATATACAAACACACACGTGCACTGTGTATCCTATACCCCTGCCCCAGGCTACCAGCACTGAGGCTGAGCCTGGACCTCTGCCTTGACCTCTACTTGTGCCAGACAAGGGGACGGGAGGTTATTACCTGGAAAAATGGTCACTGCCACTGGGGACTGGGGGACACCTCTGCCCTTGTCCACCCCACACCAGTAAATGTCTGCATCTTCCTCATCCAAGTTCTCCATGGTCACAAAGAATGAGTGCTTTTGGGGGCTGTCTCTGAGGGTCACTCGTCTGAGCTGCACCACCATGGACCCTGCCTGGGCCGTTTCAATGACGTGGACACAGTTGTTCCAGCTAGCTCCACGGCACCAGAATTTCACGTAGCCCTCCTCTCCCATGCTGTATGGATACTGCATCACCAGAGTTCCTCCCACCAGGCTTTTAAAGACCATAGGGGCTCAGAGAGAAACAGCCTGAAAAACACAAATCCACACTTCCTTAAAAATGTGTTGCTGTCAAGTCAACTCTAAGCATGACCCCATGTGTGTCTGAATACAACTGTGCTCCATAGGGTTTCAACGGCAAATTTTTCAGAACTAGGTCACCAGGCATTTCTTCCAAGGCATCAGTGGCTAGATCAAATCTCCAACTTTTCTTTTAGCAGACAAATACATTACTGTTTTTGTCACCCGGGGACTCCTCACTCACCCTTAGCCAAGTCCCTAGCCCCCATCCTGCTTCTCACAGTGACCTTAAATGAACAAATAAACCCTCTTCCCATCCCTAATGTCCCCTGTGTCCTCACACACTCACCCTTCCACAAGTCATACAAGCACATGCCTACACAGGCAGCTGTGCTCCACGTGGGGTGTGTGAGCAAAATCATTTGTCTGCTGCTTCTTTAGGATTCCAGAAAAATCCTTTCCATGTGGTATATTCCATCACTCATATGCCAGTATGTCTTGCTATGTGTTTGTCCTATGGTCCATCCTTCAATGAGATGGATTGACACCGTTGCTGCAACCACAGGCTTAAGCCCAGCAACGATGATGAGGATGGTGCAGAGCCAGGCGGGGCTTCCTTCTGTGGGGTATAGGGTTGCTATGAGTGGGAACTGACTTGACAGCACCAAACAACAACAACATGTGGTTAATTAACCCCACACACTCCTCACACACACACATACACACATACTCATCCTTCTCTCAAACCCTTTCTCCATACTAACCTCTTTCCTCAAGCCATTTGGGCCTTCCTTGGGGGAAATGTCACCCTTTTATGAACCCAGCTTGACTCCTTGCCATTCAGTGAGGGTTAAGAGAAAACTGAACAAGATTCCAGCCCCTGGGTCAGCACCACCATCATTATAATAGTTAATGTTTAAGTAGAGTCTAAGAAGGACTGAACATTGCTCTATGGTCTTTACATATATTAATGGGTTTAACCCACAAAGCCACCCTCTGAAGGACATGGGTATTAGGACCCCTACCATGATCTGGCTTTGTCAATTCCACTTGGCAAAAACATCCAGTTGCCCAAAGTTAACCTGGCACTAAACCTAAAAAATTCACTGCCGTCAACTCGGATCCGATTCATAGCAATCCCTCCTTGGGTTTCCAAGGCAGTATCACTAAGGAAGGAAATTGCCCAACCTTCCTACCGAGCAGTGGCCAGTGGGTTTGAATCGCCAGCCTTCTGGTTAGCAGTCAAGTGCCTTAGGCACTATAGATCTAACCATTTTCTTTCTTCAGAAATTCTTTTATGGACCTGGCTTTTTGGTCTGATAGAGACTGATGGACCCCTGAGACTGTGGCTCTTGGATGCCCTTCAAGACTGGAACTGAACTCACCCCCATGGATCAACTTTCAGCCAAACGATAGACAGGTCTATGAGGTGAACATTAAAACCATGGAGGTATGCACTCATTAGAGCAATCAGCTATAAGAGATCAAAAGGGTAGCTTTTGCCCTGGGATGGTGGCATAGTGCCTAAGGCATTTGACTGCTAACCAGAAGGCTGGTGGTACAAACCCACCAGCCACTCCTTGGTAGGAAGGTTGGGCAATTTACTTCCACAGTGATACTGCCTCGGAAACTCAAGGAGGGGTTGTTATGAGTCGGATCTGACTCAATGGCAGTGGGCAAAGCCAAGAAGGCAGGAGCAGGTAGGAAAGAAGGATGCAGAGAAATGGGAAACCCAGGGAGGAAATGGGAAGAGCGCCGTTACATTGTGGGGACCACAATGAAGGTCACAAAACAAAATGTATATGAATTGCTGAATAGAAAACCAACTTGCTCAGTAAACTTCTACCCAAATAACAATTTAAGAAAAAAAGAAAGAAAGAAGAAGAAGAAAGTACTTTACGCTTAGAGTGAAGTTTCTTTAAATCCGGGGAGTGGGGAGAGGAAGGGAGAGGATAAGACACACACACACACACACAGAGAGAGAGAGAGAGAGAGAGAGAGAGAGAGGGAGGGAAGCAGAGGAGAAAGGACAGGGAGACCGGCAGGGAGAGGGTGTCTTTCTCTCAAGTTATAGGATTGAAGCTGAAACACTGATTCTGAGCAAGGACCAACAGTGGGTAATCTGGTTCCCTGCTCCATCTTCACCAGACTGACCAGATTGTGGGAGGCGGGGGGGGGGGCGGTAGGAGAGAACAGGGAGGTGGGGGAACAGGATAAGAGGCGCCTGGACAAGGCTGAGGTGTAAGCCCTAACTAGCCTTAAAGCGCGCCCTCCTCACCCTGGAGGGGCAACACAATTCCATCCACAGAAGCTCCTCCCCCAGGGGCGGCGTGTGCCACCAGTCAGGAAGAGGAGAGTCTGGTGGCAGTGCTTCCGGGGGTAATTTACCTTCTCAGTCCACAAGGGAGGCTAGATGAGGGAATAATGTAAGCAAAGCACACTTGGACCCTTCTGGGAAAATTTCCCCAGCATTCTCCACCTCTCGCCTTTAAAGATTCCTCCTCTCCATCTGCGCAATGGCCTCAACGCTCCCCAAGTCCAGAATCTCACTCACCAGGGAGGCAGAGGAGCAGGAAGGTGCTGGAAAGACACATCTTCCGGCATCAATGGATCAATTCTCCGCCACATCCACACAATGAATGAAACGCAGAAGAAGCCCTCCTGGTCCCCTAGAGAGCCAACGTCAAGTTCCTGCTTCCCTTTCTTTGTTCCCCATTCTACTCCCTTTCTTATATCACATCACTTTTCCATTTGCAAAAACAAGAGTTGTTAAAATAAATAAATAAAGGAAGAATCCTAGAAAATCTTTAAAAGGTGGATGGGGGGAGAAAGAACTGATAACAAATGTTATGGACTCAAAGTGCTTCATAACCAGCCCAGAAAGATGAACTGTGCCTCCTAGAAGGGACCTTTATCCAGTCCAATACTTTCTAGTTTGACTAAAACCCACAGTCAGAAATGGATTGTACATTTCATTCCAGAATTACCAGCCTTATTGATATCAGAAACAAACAAACAAAACTCAGAAAATAACACTCACCCTTACTATATGTCATTGTTAGGTGCCATCGAGTTGGCTCCGATTCATAGCAACCCCGTGGACAACAGAATGAAACACTGCCCAGTCCTGCACCACCCTCCCAATCCTTGCTATGCGTGAGCCCTCAGCTCACCATACGAGCACCATGTGCACCAGCCCTACTTGGTGTTTGGAATTGAAGACACTGTGGTAAACGAGACCCTACCTTGCCACTCACGTGTCGAATTCTCTGTGTACGCTGAGCAGTCAGACCTGGCTTGATAGCCCCACCTTCCATGGGTGCACTGTGTAAATTATCTGGTATGGCTTTTCTAGCCATAAGTCTTTGTAAACTCCTTGGTGGAATTTGCCGGGAGCAAGTGAGGAGCTCCTGGTTGTTAAAATCATCCACTTGGGGTATTTCTGTTGGGAGCAGCACAAAGTAATGTTCTGGGAAATTCCGCTCTCTCTCAGGAGCTTAGAATTCTGATGTTATGATTGGTTAGTTTGGTCACTCTGCCAGGCTCAAAAGGAGGCCTCCTAGGGGCAGAAGTTTCTCTCTGACTGCTGGCTGAGGAAGGACGTGCTGCTGAGAGGAAACGTGCACCTGAGAGACACTCTCTGTGAGAAAGAGACACAAGAGACACACGTTGCTGAGAGAGACGCCGAGAGACACGCACTGCTGGGAGAGAGACTGGGAGAGACTGTTGGCTGAGAGATAGCGGGCTGGGAGAAAGACTGAGCATTTTTCCTGAACTTGAATTGTAGCCTGGGACTTCCCTAATAAACCCCATAATCTGTGAGTTCTGTATGGCTGCTGTAGTGAATTATCGAACCCAGCGGAGAGGTGGTGGGTGCTTCAGGAGGAAAGATTGGTGTCAGGGCTGGTGAAAGGGCTGGAGGGAGGCAGCATGTCTGGCCTCGCAGGAATAGGCCTTGGGCTGTTGATGGTGATTCTGTTTTCCTCTTGTGGGGTTAGAGGAGGTCAGAAGATGTGGACTCCCTGCCCTTTTAGCAGTGGGCTTCCGCTTATCATCGGAAGAGGTCACCTATCCATGGAGGGCTGGAGCCTGAAGCTTAAGTCATCCATCTAATCCCCTCATCCTCTGTCCAGTGCATCCCATCCCCATCCACCTCCCCTTCCCCAGCTCAGCAGCTCTGCTCCTTTCATTGACCTCAGGGACAGGCAGCCATGGCAGAGCAGAGCTGGGACGGGATCGTTGGGTGTCTCCTCACTCTTGTCTCATTGGGTGTCTCCTCAAACTGTGGGGAACTGCTCCAGAGGCCACACTGCTTTAGCTGTCCCCATGCTCCCAGGACAATGAGCCTTCATTTTCCTTCCCACCCTCCCGCTGCTCTTTTTTGTACACCTCAATGTGTTCGCTTGTCCATCACAACATTTTGGGGAATCCAGTGGTTCAGAAAAAGGAGAAACTAAAAAGGAAATGGCTAGTAACTATAGAAGCTCTGTGGCGTCGGTGCTTATAATAATTAACATGAAAGGGAACTCAGCTGTACAAAGAGCCTCACAACTTCCAAAAACAGACAGGTCACATTTTTTAGGTGTCATTGCATCTTCAAATGTGCTGGCTAAGCATGTGGATCTGGAGTCAGGACTGGGAGTTGGGCTTTCAGAGAGCAAGTTTTATGGAAATTATTGATATTTATCACATTATATTTTATTCACTTGACAGTCATTTAATGGGTGTCTACTAGGTACCAGACACTGCAGTCACAAGGACAAACAAGAAGTGATAAAGCACTCAGGATCCTGGCACAGGCAGATGTACCCTCAGATGGGATCACTTAAGAAAGGGAATGTTTACAAAGGCGCAGGAAGAGTTGAGGGAAATCAACAAGGCATACAGGGTCCCTGGGTACAATTGGTTAAGCGCTCAACTACTAGCCAAAAGGTTGATGGTTCAAATCTACTCAGAGGTGCCTAGGAAGACAAGCCTTCCAAAAGGTCACAGCCATTGAAAACCCTGTGGAGCAGTTCTACTCTGCACGCACAGGGTCGTTGTGAATGAGAATAGACTCCACAGCAGCAAACAGCAATAAGGAATAGAGGGGGAAAAAAAAGCTTGGGTCTACAAAGAGCAGGGAGCATCCCTGAGACTCCCCTGGGCACTCCACCAGAGGGTTGAGAGAGACTGTGATGGGGACAGAAGTCAGAGCACCGAAGCCACAGAGCTTCTGTTGTTATTAGACATTTCCTTTTTAGTTTCTCCTTTTTCTGACCCACTGGATTCCCCAAAATGTTGTGATGGAAAGGCAAACACATGGATGTGTACAAAAGAGAGCAATGGGAGGATGGGAAGGAAAATGAAGGCTCATTGCTCCTGAGAGCATGGGGACATTTGTGGGGTCTTACTGCCATTGGTCCCCCTAGCATGGTGAGCCAGGGGAGATGCAGGTTGCATGGACCTCAATTTAAGGCCTCAGCCTTCACTGAGAAAATACGTCAGCTAAATCCTTATATCCAGTGCTTAGGTAAGTATCCACACCCTCAGCTCCCACAGGAAATGTGAGATCCAATGCCAATTCTTGATTCCTCCTTCCTTTGTGTTCAGCCTTAGAGAAAGAACAGTGTAGGATTCATTGATCCATTGGGGCATTCACTGAGTGTCTGCCATGTTCCAGGGGCTGGTGGTCTCTAGGGACTGAGAGGAGTAAGACAGACACAGTCCCTGCTCTTGTGAGTTTATTCTGCAAGCATTTGTGAACACCCCTTGTGCAAGGCCTGGGGAGGGGACAAACACAAAGGAAAGAGACAGACAGATAAGAATACAAGTACTAGTCAAGGCAGATGGGATAGGTAGGCACGCTGCCCCAGACAGGCTCCTGGACGAGGCCAGGACCCCAGATCTTGAACCTGGAGAAGTAAGTGGAAATCTTCACTCTGGGTTTCACGCTGGGTTTGTCGAATGGAGTACTAGAGTCTTGCACCACAGCCCTTGCACATCACTGTCCACTGGGCATGACCGTGTTACTGCCTCTGCTATAATCCAGTGTGGTTTGGTCTTGGGATTTCATCACCAACCCCAAATCTAGACAAGTCAGAACCTCTGATTTTCTCAAGCCCATCAGGGGAAGGTGTCAGTGCTGAAGTTCACAGGCTTAGCTCCTCCAAATAACTGGCATCCGAAGCTGGCGTAGAAAGCCCTGTCTCTGCTCAATAGTCTTTCTGATGCTGCATCACCCAGATCATGGCAAAGAGCAGGCTAAGGAGCAGAGGTACCTTTAGGAGGATCAGGAGCAGGGAGGGAAGTTGATAAGAAGAGACCTGTTGGAGGGACACAGGGACAGGCAGTGAGTGACTTCCCCATCTTGCTCCCCAATTACTTCCTCAGCACCCACTGAGACCCCCTAAGCAACAACCACTTTAACGACAGTGGCCAATATAAAGCTATCCACCACCCATCTGTTGACTCGTCGTCCTGTGGTGGCTTGCATGTTGCTATGATGCTGAAGGCTGCGTCACTGGAATTTCAGGATCACCCACGGTAGGCAGGTTTCAGTGGACCTTCCAGACCCAGACAGAGTAGAAAAAAAGACCTGGTGATCTACCTCCGAACATTAGCCAACGGATACCCTATGGATCACAACAGAACACTGTCTGATACGGTGCTGGAAGGGGAGCCCAGGTACACCAGAAACCATGACGAGGTGCAGGGCCAGGCCACGCTTCGTTCTATTATTACATAAGGTCACCATGAGATGGAGCCACCTTGATGGCAACTAACAACCTTTAGAGCCTGGAGAAGGTCTACCACGTGAGAAAGATGCTCAAATTAGTCCCTGAAACCAGAGAAATGTCTGTTTCAGAGACACTCTGCCACCTCCTCTCATTGCCAATCGAAGGCCACAGAGCAGCTGGGGCCACACTAGGTCCCAGGAGAACCACTTTGCAAACCGCTCTCCGGATGCTGCCCTCCATTAGAAGAGCACGTGACTTTTCAAAGCACTTCATATCTGTTATCTAATTCTCTCCTCCCAGCAACCCCCGGAATCATCTGGTCAGCACAGACAGGCTCTTGGTTAGAAGGACTTCCCCCAAATCATCACATTTAAGCTTTCGATCTTTCCTGGAAATTTGTTTTATAACTGCTTTCCATTTGAAATCTATTTTCAGGTCACTTTCAATAAATTCCCCTGTGACGGTCTCTACACTTTGGCCAAGAATGCTTTCATTCGGTGCTATAATTCATGGCTGAATCCCCTTCAAGGTCAAAGGAGTGACTATTTTCAAAAGCAGACCAATTTTAATGCCCAGTCATTCCTCAGAGACATTGAGGCTTCAGTTCCCACCACTGCAATGAAGTGGACACCACACTAAAGTGAGTTTTGGTTTCCCTGTGCACATAGATTATGAGTGCACTACACTGTAGTCTCTTAAGTGTACAACAGCTCACAAAGTGAAAATTTGAAATATTGTGAGAATTACCGAAATGTGACACAGAGACACAAAGTGAGCACACGCTGTTGGGAAAATGGTGCCGAGAGACTTGCGCTGCACAGCGTTGCCACAAACCTTCAGTTTGTGAAAACGCAATCTCCGTGCAGCAAACTGTGTGAAGCGCAATAAAATGAGGCATGCCTGTATTTTGTTTGATTGTGTTGTTTTTGTTTGTTTGTTTTTCAACTTTTTATGTGATCTCAGTGAAAATTTACAGAGAAATTGGTTTTCCACTCAACAGCTCATATACGTTTTATCTCATAATATTGATTGTAATCCCCACAATGCAACAGCACTCCTCCCACTTCCTCCCTGAGGTTACCCTTCTTCTTTGTCCTCCTTTCCTGTCCATGGCTGCCTTCAGAGATTTTTCCAGGGGCAAATGCCTGTATATTTTTTATCCTACTTGTTTGTCAATACATTTTCCAGAGACCAAGCTTTTTAATCTGTGTAGCAAAGAGGTAGCACAGAAACACCTCTGGAAGTGTTCTTACAGTGGGGCTGATTCAGCCACTCAGCTGGTTGTTGCAGAACATCTAGAGGGGAAAATGCAAAGACCAACAGGGCAGTCCCAGCCCCAGTGTGACCTGCAATCCCACCAGAAGTCAGTTGCCGTGGAATCAATTCTACCTGGCAGAGACACCAATGACAGCCCTCCTTACCAACTGGGAAAGCCAGCTTCGGACAGTTCACTCCGTGGCACGACGTGTAGGTCCAGCAGTGCCCTGGTGGTTATAACTGGCACTGTTGTTTTTTCTGAGTAAATAAAGCAGACCAAGTGTCTTCTCTCCTGACCGCCCCACATGACCCCATGCTTCTCCCTCCAAGTCTGCATAGAAGAGGAGTGAGCTGGCTCAGTGCCCCCACTGCAGTCCCTGTGGAGTGCAGGGTCACCCACCAGCAAACGAAGGCAAAGGCTGTGAAGACAGAGCCATAGGCAGCATGGGGACACGTGAGGTGGACTTCTGTGGAAAATTGCTCTTTGGGCACTACTTCTCTAGGCCTCTCCATACAATGAATCAGGCATCATTATTAACCCATTTAACAGATGCAGAAACAAGTTCAGAGAGGTCTTTGTCTCAGGGTCCCACAGCTAGTGGGGGGCAGCGTAGGGGCTTGAGAGTAGCCCTGTCAGAATCTAAGCTTCACACCACTCTGCCCCCCTCTGCAGCTCCTCTCCCACTTTCTTATGCGGCCAGAGGCGGGTGACACTCAGGATGGCCACCATAAGACATGTGTTGACCATACACTACAGGAACCCAAGTTCGTCAAGAAAATGGGTAATAAGACTAATGGCAGCACACATGTACAACACATAAACACAGATACACACATAACACACACACAAACAGAAAATACATACAAACACAATGCACACATATACAACAGACACAAACTCAGATACACACACAGAAAACACATACAGGTACAACCACATATACAACAGACACACACAAACATAGATACACACAGAGAGAGAGAGAAAACACATACAGATACTACATATACATACAGCAGACACAAAAACACACACACACATAAAATACAACACAACACATACACAGACAGAAAACACATACAAACACAACTCACATATATACAAATGACACACAAACACAAATACACATACAATACAGAGAGCACATACAAACACAACTCACATATATACAAATGACACACAAACACAAATACACATACAATACAGAGAGCACATACAAACACAACACACATATAAAAAGACACACACACACATATAAAACAGACACCTACGAACACAGATACACACACAACACACAGAGAGACAGAAAACACATGCAGACACCACATACTTATACAACAGACACATAAAACACACACGAAAACAGATATAACATATACAAAGACAGAAAACACATGCAAACACACACACAGATACAGCAGACACACAAACACAGGTCCACACTCAACACATACACAGCACACTGTCAGAGAGAGACCCAAGCATAGACACCCACGCAAACATTAACCACACACACACACCAGGAGAGGCCTCTCATCTGGGTGCACTGTGACCTTCACTCGGTCCGCAGGTCCTTCAGGTTCTTTTCTATGGCGCGCCAGTAAGTGTCACCATCATCGTCCTGCAGATTCTCCATGGTGACGGTGACAGTGTGACGATGGCGGTAGTCTTTAATGCAGACCGGCCCCTCTTTTCTTCCTCTTCATCTCCTCTGGTCTTAATGACGTAGGAAGAGGATTTCCAGGCAGCTCCCCGGCACCAGTACTTCACATAGGGCTCCCAGCCCAGCTCATGGCGGCACGGCACTGACGGCAGCCCTCTCCTCGGGCCACTCTCCTGACCAGGACCTTCCACTGAGAAATCGTAGAACAAATAAATGCCCATGCGTTCTCTCAGCACTCACACCGCCTGGAAGTGCCACACTGTGATACCAACACACGACAAGCTCACAACAGCCCTGTGAGGATGGAGGCATTCAAGCTGCCTTCTACCTACCTTTGTGCTTTGATCACCAAAATACATCCCAGGGCAAAAAGAACAGGCTCCTATGACTACTGGTGCTTTCAGGTCCATGTGGTATGTGGACCAGCTGCTGTGGAGCCGACTCTGACCCATGGCGCCCCCATGTGTGTCCAAGTAGAACTCTGCTCCATGGGGCCTCCAATGGCTGAGCTTTCAGAAGTACGTCTTCGGGTCTTTCTTCCAAGGGCATCTCTGGGTGGATTTGAACCCCCAACCTTCTGATTAGGAGCAGGCATGTTATCTGTTTGCACCCCCCAGGGATTCCTCAATGTGCCTCTTGTGGTCACTGTGTGTCGTTGAGTCAATTTCGACTTGCAGTGACCCTATAAGACAAAGTAGAACTGTCTCATAGGGTTTCTTAGGCTCTAAATCTTTACGGGAGCAGTCACACTTGCATTCACACTCATGTGCACAGTAAACTAGTCAAAGAGAGAAGGACAAAAGACAAGCTTCTGATTTAGGAATTACCAAAAAAACCCACAACAACACATGCCTTAACTCTTAGCAACTGCTTGACATTGCACAATTCCTCCTACTCTGCCCTGAAGTTTCAATTTCCAGACCCACAGAAGTTTCAGTGTGAGCTCATGTGTGCAGTGTTGGGATGTGTCCTGGAGAACTGAGGGGCGTAAGGAAATGATATGCAGACAAGAGAAGCTCAGGGCTGTCTGTGGTCGTTGATGAGGAAGCTAAAGAGTGTGTTATGCCCTATGGGCAAGTCTCGACAGACAGACCAACAGAACTGAACAGGGAGTCCAAAAACAGACTCACATATACTCGGTCTATAGACTTATGGCCAAGACAACAAAGCCTTTTTAATGCACTGTGCTGGAGCAACCGGATTTGTTGTTAGTTGCTATAGAGTTGGCTTTGATGCTGGTGCCTAACAGGACAAAAGGTGACCCAGTCCTGGCCATCTTTATGGTTGTTAGTACGTTTGGGTCCATTGTGGTGGGTAATGTGTCACTCCATCTCACTGCGGGTTTCCCTCGTTTTACCGACCTTCTACACTCCCAGTCATGAAAAGGTGCTCAATATTACTAGTCAGGAGAAAATGCAAGCTGAACCCATAACGATAACATCTGACACCAGCTAGAATGGCTAAAGGAATGGCTAAAATTAAAAAAAGAAAGAAACTACAACAAGTGTTAGAAGGCAAGTGGAGCAACTGGAACGCTCATCCACCACT